ATCAGGTATATAAGGGGATGGTTACAGTTACTAGGAACACCTGGATCAGGTATATAAGGGGATGGTTACAGTTACTAGGAACACCTGAATCAGGTATATAAGGGGATGGTTACCTGGGAGTCTGTTCATGTTCACACCTTGGGCAGCAAGACCTATCCCCATGTACCTGAAAAACATAAAAGTTTGGAAACATTCAATCTTGTGATCCATTTATTCACTTAACTGTATTGGAATGAATATGATACACATCACATAACAATAACAGATGAGTTACTGACATCAAACTGCAATAATTATATAAACATGGGTCAACTTTCACTTCCTGGTGGGAAAACATGGAGTTTCTTATCAGATTATCAATACCAGCCACCTAAAACACACCTGGTGCCACCCCTTGTTTGTCTGCAGGTGATCATGAGATCAGGAGTTGTAGCTGAACTATACTCTGCTACAGATCAATCAGTAAGGCAACTGTTACAAACATTTCATTCGAACCTAGAATCTTACAGCTGCTTTGGTTTTCAAATTAAAATATATATATAATTTTTAAAGTTTTATCGCTCAGCCTTTTGAAATGATACAAATGCATTTGTATACATGTATCAGATATTGTTGATGCGGCTTCTTAAAACTGAGCATCCAGGAAGTCTGTATCAGGTAGGACCAGTCATTACAATGGCAATGGTAAATATCTAACCCAGTGTTAAAGGTGTCAAGGTAAAGTAGGCCTACGTTTAGGGGACTAACAAAGACAAACAAGATTACAGTATCACCATACTACATCATACTGTAGCCATGGTACAATGTTATATAGCTAAACAAGGTACACTTACAAAGACAAACAAGATTACAGTATCACCATACTACATCATACTGTAGCCATGGTACAATGACATATAGCTAAACAAGGTGGTACACTTACAAAGCAGACATGGTTTATACATGTAGATATACTGGGTACTATGAGTTAACAAGGTTACCACGAGCGGTATATAATACGCCCGCCACACATTGAATGAGCAGTTGTTTGTATGATTGAAATATATGAAGTATTTGTGAGTAATTGATATTAAAAGAGAAATCATTCAACATAACTGGTAGATCAATGAGTGCAATACAACATCATGGAACGCATGCATCGCATTAATGAAACCAAGGGGCATAACTCCACAAATTATGGTCGGATAATGGCGGTTATCGAACTTGTCCGAGGTTTCATGGTAATTAACCTTGTTGTGAAGTTTGAAGTTAATCNAGGTACATAAGGGGATGGTTACCTGGATCACCTGAATCAGGTACATAAGGGGATGGTTACATGGATCAGGTATATAAGGGGATGGTTACCTGGATCACTTGAAACGGGTATATAAAGGGATGGTTACCTGGATCACCTGAATCAGGTATATAAGGGGATGGTCACCTGGATCAGGTATATAAGGGGATGGTTACCTGGATCACCTAAATCAGGTATATAAGGGGATGGTTATCTGGATCACCTGTATCATGTACATAAGGGGATGGTTACCTGAATCACCTGAATCAGGTAAATAAGGGGATGGTTACCTGGATCACCTGAATCAGGTATATAAGGGGATGTTTACCCGTATCACCTTAAACAGGTATAAAAGGGGATGGTTACCAGGATCACCTGGATCAGGTTCATAAGGTTCATAAGTTACTAGGAACACCTGAATCAGGTATATAAGGGGATGGTTACAGTCACTAGGAACACCTGACTCAGGTATATAAGGGGATGGGTAGTTACTAGGAACACCTGAATCAGGTATATAAGGGGATGGGTAGTTACTAGAAACACCTGAATCAGGTATATAAGGGGATGGTTACAGTCACTAGGAACACCTGAATCAGGTATATAAGGGGATGGGTAGTTACTAGAAACACCTGAATCAGGTATTTAAGGGGATGGTTACAGTCACTAGGAACACCTGAATCAGGTATATAAGGGGATGGTTACAGTCACTAGGAACACCTGAATCAGGTATATAAGGGGACGGGTAGTTACTAGGAACACCTGGATCAGGTATATAAGGGGATGGGTAGTTACTAGGAACACCTGGATCAGGTATATAAGGGGATGGTTCCAGTTACTAGGAACACCTGAATCAGGTATAAAAGGGGATGGGTAGTTACTAGGAACACCTGGATCAGGTATATAAGGGGATGGGTAGTTACTAGGAACACCTGAATCAGGTATATAAGGGGATGGTTACAGTTACTAGGAACACCTGAATCAGGTATATAAGAAGATGGTTACAGTTACTAGGAACACCTGAATCAGGTATATAAGGGGACGGGTAGTTACTAGGAACACCTGGATCAGGTATATAAGGGGATGGTTACCTGGATCACCTGAATCAGGTACATAAGGGGATGGTTACATGGATCAGGTATATAAGGGGATGGTTACCTGGATCACTTGAAACGGGTATATAAAGGGATGGTTACCTGGATCACCTGAATCAGGTATATAAGGGGATGGTCACCTGGATCAGGTATATAAGGGGATGGTTACCTGGATCACCTAAATCAGGTATATAAGGGGATGGTTATCTGGATCACCTGTATCATGTACATAAGGGGATGGTTACCTGAATCACCTGAATCAGGTAAATAAGGGGATGGTTACCTGGATCACCTGAATCAGGTATATAAGGGGATGTTTACCCGTATCACCTTAAACAGGTATAAAAGGGGATGGTTACCAGGATCACCTGGATCAGGTTCATAAGGTTCATAAGTTACTAGGAACACCTGAATCAGGTATATAAGGGGATGGTTACAGTTACTAGGAACACCTGAATCAGGTATATAAGGGGATGGGTAGTTACTAGGAACACCTGAATCAGGTATATAAGGGGATGGGTAGTTACTAGAAACACCTGAATCAGGTATATAAGGGGATGGTTACAGTCACTAGGAACACCTGAATCAGGTATATAAGGGGATGGGTAGTTACTAGGAACACCTGGATCAGGTTCATAAGGGGATGGTTACAGTTACTAGGAACACCTGAATCAGGTACATAAGGGGATGGTTACAGTTACTAGGAACACCTGGATCAGGTATATAAGGGGATGGTT